GTTACAGTGTTTATATAAAGTGATAGCAAGTTATATTAGTACAAAGGTGTACATTAATGAAACAACATGTAATTAAAAGTGTAGAGGGCAGATATAAGGCCACGACAATCATGTGCAAAAAAAACCCCAAAAAACAACACATTGTCATTGTATTAATATCCACCCAATTGTCAACATTTTACTAACCTCACTACCCCAATACCACCTTATTGTGCCATATATTATTTTCAGCATCTAATTCTCTTTCCACCTGTAACCATCTAACCGCTTTCCCACCAAGTGTCCCAATATCATGCCTTATAGCTCTGTCATCATAATAGTCTTTTTACATCCAAATGTAGCCATCCAACCCTCTGCCCGCCAAGTACCATATATCTCTATTACCATATTATTCTCTTTACATTGGAATGCAACCATCCAGCTACACCCCTGTGTCACCATGTCACATCGACCACAACCCATCCAACCAGTCACTTTTCACTTCCCCTTACCAACTCTGTGAAAAGAAATGAGGTCCAGCACTTCTTATAACTTGATATTCCTTTATTTTCAACCCATTAGTAGCAATATTTTGGCAAATGTGTCTTTTTGAGTTCCTGCAAATGGGTTGAAATTAAAGGGATATTAAGTTATGATTAGTGGTGGACATCAATTTTATCTATTGGAGTTATGACTTATATGGCAATAGCCAGAATCCGTGCACCCTATATTAAAAACTAATAAAGTTAATTTAGGTGAGTGATCTTCCCTAATTCATTGCTTACCACCTCAGTGACACATCACATTTCCACTGTCACCATTTTACCCAACTGAACATCCCATTTCATCACGGGTGTAAAGAATCTACAATTTCTTGGTGATCTAGTGGGGCTACCTAAATATTTCCCAAAATGTCAATTATTTCCTCCAATGCCATCATCCATTGGGGGTTGTTATCATCCCTATGTCTTCAACTAATCACTAGAATAATTAATTTAAACACTAATCATGTTTAAAGTATTTTTAAAAAAGGTTCTAAATCAATTCATATATTTATAATACAGGCACATGTTTTGTTTGATAGAGCTCTCCCTGTTCCGGCTTTATAATGACCATGATAAATTATTTCTTAGAACTCTGCATATGTGATACTTTGTGCATGACTGATATATGGCCACAATGACTAAATCTACCATTTAAATTACCCTTTGTCACATGGAATTTGAAACTAACCCGGTATTCAGAGACCGTTTCAAGTTTGGTGATAAACAGCACACAAAAATATTGAACATAAGGTAACAAGATTCATAACCATGATTACAAGGGAGCATAGTCATTAGTGTTGGGTATTAATAATATATCTATTAGTTATTTTGGTAATATATGCATGAAGATAAGCCCTGCTGAGCTGCAGCCTACTTTAGGTGTTTTGGGAAAATCTCATGCAGTAGACTCTCCGGAGGCTAAACAGAGAAAATCACAGCACGCTACTTTTTATGTTGTTTTAACTAATAGCGTTTTGTTTTTTTCTCTTTTTCTTTTGGTGCAAAAGGACACTTTCAACTTGGAGTTGATGTGTCTCATTATTTACAGATACAAACTGTAAAACAAAAAAAAAATCTTTAAAATGCTTCCTTAAAATAGATTTAAGGTCATTACAATGTGATCATATCTGTTAGATGTTTCATTTACTCTCTAGACATGATTTTTTTCCCATAAATAATCAACAGGAGGATCAGCAGATGGAAAAGCATTTCTTTTGCCAGCGGTTCTTTGTCTGAATTATGATTTGTGAATGTCTTACAATATAAAAAACACAAAAGACTTTCAATTGTACATATCATGTTTAAAAAGATAAGGGGTAAAATTCAGATGTACACTTGGTGTGCAGTGCCATAATACGAGAACGGTGAAGTTCTGGAGACAAAGTCAAAGAAAGTTGTTTTGTTTATTAAAAATGCAGTTTTTTTGTGAAAATAGTATTAATAAAATGAATATCATGAGGAAAATGCGGTATATTTATTAAAATGTTCTGATATTTGAAAGTTCAATAAAATCATTCTTTTGAGTACATCTATCTACATAAGAGAGAAAAAGAAACGTTTTCCTTATCTGTCATAGATCTGTCATGTCTGTTTAGGGGTGCGTCACCACTCGAAAATAATACATTGGTGCTTCTACCTGGGATATGAAGTATGTCTGAGAAAGATTGCAACAATTAGTAGGGTTTCTCAAAAGTTGCAGTTTCTCATAACAAAATATTCTATGATTCACCATATACAGCTGAATGAAGTCAACCCGCTACCTGCAGAGATGCTCCCGTTCAGCTGAATGCTGCTGGAGGAAGTCTCACACCTTGTCAGACTTTCTACTCTATAAATTTTTCTCACACTAATACAGTGCAGCCCTCACCTTTGCTAAACAGTCCTACATTTCTTTTCTCATTAGTTCATGCTCCCACAATCCTAGGCATCTCTTTAATACTTTTAACTCTCTTCTTTGCCCTGCTGTGGCCACCCCACAAACTAATCTTTCAGCTGATAGCATTGCATGTTACTTTACTGACAAGATTAAACAGTTAAAGAATAAATTCTCCCCTTTTCTCCCCTCTCAATCTCAACATCACTTGGACCATACCATCCCTACCCTCCAAGACTTCCCTCCAGCTACTGAACAGGAGGTGGCTGTGCTTCTCATCTCCTCTTGTCCCACCACCTGTCTGCTTGATCCAGTACCTTCCCACCTCATCAGAGCTCTCACCCCTTGTACCATCCTTAACACACATCCTAAACTGCTCTCTTTTATCTAATGCTGTCCCTGCTCCCCTTATGTATGCTTCTGTCGTACTTATCCTAAAAAAGCCATCCCTAGACCAGTCTTCCACTTCAACTATTGTCCCATATCCCTGCTTCCTTTTTCCTCAAAGCTTCTAGAAAGACTTGTCTTTACTTGTATGACTCACTTCCTAAATTCCAACTCCCTCCTCGATCCTCTTCTATCTGGCTTTTGCCCCCTCCACTCTACTGAGACTGCTCTTATTAAAGTTACAAATTACCTAATCACAGCAAAATCCAAAGGCCACTACTCCATACTAATTCTTCTTGACCTCTCTGCTGCCTTTGACACTGTTGATCATGGCTTCCTTCTCCTAACTCTTTAATCTCTTGGTCTCTGTGACACAGCCCTCTCATGGTTCTCCTCCTATCTCTGCCAATGCTCCTTTAGTATCTATTTTTCCCAACAGCACCTCCTCTCCTCATCCTGTCTCAGTTGGAGTCCCTCAAGGTTCAGTTCTTCATCCCCTTTTGTTCTCTCTCCATACTACTTCTCTTGGCAAACTCATTAATTCATTTGGATTCCACTACCACTTGTACACTGACGACACCTAGATATATTTCTCCTCCCCTGCTGTTCTACCAATTGCCTTTCTTCTATCTATGATTGGATGTCCTCCCGCTTTCTGAAACTCAATCTCTCTAAAACTGAGTTTCTTATTTTTCCTCCTCATAACACTGATTCTCCTCCTTCACTCTCCCTGCAGGTTGACGGTATCTGCCTCACCACATCCTTTCAAGCTCGCTGTCTTGGTGTCACTTTTGATCCTGGCCTTACCTTTGCACCTCATGTCCAGTCTGTTGCTAAAACCTGTCGATTTCATCTTAAAAACAGTGCCCGCATACGCCCCTTTCTTACGCAATATCCTGCCAAGGAGCTTGTTCATGCTCTAGTAATCTCTTGCCTCGATTACTGTAATTCTTTCCTAATTGGTCTCCCCAGAAGCCGTACTGCCCCCCTACAATCTGTGTTGAATGCTGCTACCAGGCTTATCTTTCTCTCCTGCCGCTCCTCTCACGCCTCACCCCTCTGTCGATCCTTACACTGGCTTTCTTTCCCGTATAGGTGTCAATTTAAAATACAGCCCTTCCCTATAAAGCTCTAACCAACTCTAGCCCCTATTACATTTCTTCACTGATTCATATGTATTCCCCCTCTCTGTCTCTCTGCTCAATTGGTGACCTTCTCCTTTCTGCTGCTCGCACCCTTACTGCAAATTCACTCCTCAAGACTTCTCACGGGTGGCTCCTTTCCTCTGGAACAGCCTGCCTACCCTTGTCAGACTCTCCCCTTGTGGCAGAAATGCCTCTGCCACATGTTTATGGAGGGGCCTGCTTGCCAGCCTCCTGCCTCAGGTCCCTGCAATAGACCCTGGCTAAAATACTTTAAAAAGGCTCTGTTCGTGCAATTGGGATTATGTGGTTCGGGAACCGAACAGCCGCACAAACCAGAGACAACCCGGGAGCTTGTTAAACCCTATTAACACTTGATAACGATTATAACCACAGTGTTGTAATTGTTTGTCTGGGTGGCCGCTGTTCGCATGAACGACCACGAGGGGGTGGCCATCTTGTTTGCATGAACGCAGGCAGCAGTGTTTGGTCGTCAAGTTTCTGGAACTAAAATCGGACAAGGAAACACCGCTGGACTTCCATCATCACCTGCATTTGGTTCTACACAACTTAGAAAGGCACTGTTCAGTGGAATCATTTGTCTGGCTGAGGGAACAACCTCCAGGGTAAGACTATTGACTATGTTCGGTAGTTTGTTTTTTAAACTACCAAACTAGACCGACCGCAAGCCCTGATTCTCTGGAACTGTTTTGGGCAGGAGCCTCTTGTGCGGTCGGTCAAATTATGACTTCCATGGAAATCCCAAACCCCTGAATCGATCTGGGTGATTTTTGGATATGTTGGTCCCCCAGATCGGGGCTATCAGCAGATATAACTTTTGTGGAATTTCCATGTGTTTTGGGGGTACTTTTGGGTTATTGTAAAATCTATGTTTTCTGTGCCTGGAGATAATTGAATTTAGTACAGTTCCTGACTCAATTATCTCTCAGGCACAGGGCAGGGATTATCCTGTTTTGTGTGGGAGCGTCCTGGACCTGAGAGAAAATGTAATTACAGTGTGTACTTTGTCACAGTCCCCTCTCAGGTCCAGTGGGGAATGCCCTGGAATATGTTATGGAAAACCCCTTGCATGGGGACTTGCATATAAGGCCAGTTGTGGCTGCCATTAAACAGTTCAACTTCACCCTCAACACAGAGCCTCGTCTTGTGCTTGTAGGGAACAGGTATACCAGCTATATCACTAGCTCTTGTAAGAGCCATCCTGCTATACTCTCTGGAGGAGGAGAGGTCTACCCACTGGAAGCTGGATCCCTGACTTGGGTCCAGTATAGAAGCTGTTAACTGGTGATTACATATCAGTCAGAGCAAAAAAGTTTAGAAAAATTAATAAATATATATATATATAGTAATAGAAATAATAGTGATAAATTCTGAAGTTTGGTGGGGAGTGGGGATTTCCTGATTTGTATGCATATAATTCTGTCAGTTCAAGGCAAGCAGGGAGGGTGCAAGTGCCGGTTGGTCCCTGTTATAGTCTAATATATTTCCAAACTATATGTCCCTACATATTTGACAGCAGGCACTTGTTCCCTCCATGTTGTAAGCCCAGGTAGCAAGATAAAGATCTAGACATTAAACTTCCTTTATGCCCCGCATTTTTAATTTAGCATTTCTTATCTCATAGTTGTTGAACTAAAACCTACGCCCTCCCCCCCACACCACTGACACCTAGACTGAAAATAATAAATAAATGAAAAAATATATAATAAAGAAGTGCTAGTATACAAAGGAATATCTGAGAGACATCCTAGGGAAGTGAAGTTGAATAAATGCCTATTGGACCAGAGGCTAAAGTAATTAGAGTTAAGTAAAAGATTAAGTTGAGTCTAAATAGCCCTCTGGACCAATAGCCACATCAGTCTGCACAACGCGCATTTCACCCGGCAGCCGTTGCCCGGGATCATCACTCCTGCCGGCTGTCAAAAATGTAGGGACACATAGTTTGGAAGTACATTAGACAATAACAGGGAACAACCTGCACTTTCACCCTCCCTGCTTACCTTGAACTGATGGAATTATATGCCTGCAAATCAGGAAAGCAAAAAAAACGGGGCACAAGAGAATGCTGAGAACGGGCAGCAGCTGAAATAGCCTGCCCTTCTGTTGGTCCCCGCTCAGATCTCAAGCTGGTTTTAGTTCATCTTGTGCCATTACAGAGAGACCATATCTGAAACATATCAGACTGGTCCCACCCATACGGGCAGTCCAGATCCGAAATGCCAGCAAGTTCCCTCTGCACGAGAGACACAGCAACCCCAGACAATTGTTTCAGCCTTGTTAGGCATCATCAGTGAGGCATATCTCTCTAGGCACCGTGAGCAAGGGGTCCACGTCTGGATTACCCTTTAAACTTATGGACAGCAAAAAACTGGGCACAAGAGAATGCTGAGAACGGGCAGCAGCTGAAATAGGCTGCCCTTTGGTGGGTCCCTGCTCTGATCTCAAGCTGGTTTTAGTTCATCTTGTGCAATTACAAAGAGAACATATCTGAAACATATCAGACTGGTCCCACCTCTACGGGCAGTCCAGACCCAAAATGCCAGCAAGGACCCTCTGCACGAGAGACACAGCATCCCCAGACAATTGTTTCAGGAAGTCCCCACTCCCCACCAAACCTCAGAATTTATCACTATTATTTCTATTACTATATATATATATATATATATATATTTTATTTATTTTTTATTATTTTTTTGCTTTTGCTGATATGTAATCACCAGTAGAGTTGAGCGAACCCGAAATGCAAAGTTTGGGTTCGTACCGAACATTACGGTTCGGGTTTGAGTTCGGTGTTTGTCGATTTAATGGCGTGTTTTGAAAGGCTGCAGGGCAGCCAATCAACATGCGTTTGACTCGTTTGCCCTTAGAAGCCATCACAGCCATGCCTACTAATGGCATGGCTGTGATTGGCCAGTGCAGCATGTGACCCAGCCTCTATATATAAGCTGGAGTCGCGTAGCGCCGCACGTCACATGAGCTCTTATTAGTGTTGGGAGAGGATGCTGCAGCTGTTAGGAACAGATTAGGAAAGAATTCTGGTGTTGAATCTGCAAACCACAGAGATTATTCAAACTACAGCAATTATTTTAGTGGGTGCTATAGTACATTTTTGTACCCTGCCCTGAGCCCAGTGCCACAGAGAGTGCAGTGCACTTGCAAATGCATGTGTGCCAGGCACATGACTTTAAGCCTGTTCTGGTAGCTCAGTGAGCAACACAAGCATTTTTAAATACTGCACTTTTTTGGGTTTTTTGCAGTCTAATAAAACCCTTAACCCCTTAAGGACACATGACATGTGGGACATGTCTTGATTCCCTTTTATTCCCGAAGTTTGGTCTTTAAGGGGTTAAATACTACTGCATTTCTTGCAGTCCAATAAAACCCTTAAATACTACTCTTACATTGTTGGTTTAAAAAGTCACACTTTTCTGTGCTAAATAGTACATTTGCATCCTGCGGTGCACTTCATATCTGAGAGTCAAATAGAACCGTCAAACACTGTGCTTACAGCGCACTTTGAAAAATTCTAATTTTTTTGGGTGCTAATGCTAAATAGTACATTTGCATCCTAAGGTGCACTTTATATCTGAGAGTCAAATAGAACCGTCAAACACTGTGCTCATAGCGCACTTTGAAAAATTCAAATAGTTTTGGCTGCTAAATAGTACGTTTGTGTCCTGCGGTGCACTTCATATCTGAGAGTCAAATAGAACCGTCGAATACTGTGCTTACAGCGCACGTTGAAAAATTCAAATTGTTTTGGGTGCTAATGCTAAATAGTATATTTGCGTCCTGCGGTGCACTTCATATCTGAGAGTTAAATAGAACCGTCAAACACTATGCTTACAGCGCACTTTGAAAAATGCAATTTGTTTTGGCTGCTAAATAGTACGTTTGTGTCCTGCGGTGCACTTCATATCTGAGAGTCAAATATAACCGTCAAATAGTGCTGTGACATAGCAGTTTAAATATTCAAATTCTTTAGGTGCTAAAAAGTCAATTTGGTGCCTGCACTTCATATCTGAGAGTCAAATAGAACAGTTTTAAACATTCACACTTTTTGGCTGCTAAATAGTACATTTGCGTCCTGCGGTGCACTTCATATCTGAGAGTCAAATAGAACCGTCGAATACTGTGCTTACAGTGCACGTTGAAAAATTCAAATTGTTTTGGGTGCTAATGCTAAATAGTACATCTGCGTCCTGTGGTGCACTTCATATCTGAGAGTCAAATAGAAGCATCAAAAACTGTGCTTACAGCGCACTTTGAAAAATTCAAATTGTTTTGGGTGCTAATGCTAAATAGTACATTTGCGTCCTGCGGTGCACTTCATATCTGAGAGTCAAATAGAGCCGTCAAACACTGTGCTTGCAGCGCACTTAGAAAAATTCAAATTGTTTTAGGTGCTAAATAGTACATTTGCGTCCTGCGGTGCACTTCATATTTGAGAGTCAAATAGAACCGTCAAACACTATGCTTACAGCGCACTTTGAAAAATTCTAATTGTTTTGGGTGCTATTGCTAAATAGTCCATTTTCGTCCTGCAGTACACTTCATATCTGAGAGTCAAACAGAACTGTCAAATAGTGCTGTGACATAGCAGTTTTAAACATTCCAATTCTTTAGGTGCTAAAAAGTCAATTTGGCACCTGCACTTCATATCTGAGAGTCATATAGAACCGTCAAATAGTGCTGTGACATAGCAGTTTTAAATATTCAAATTCTTAAGGTGCTAAAAGATCAATTCGGAGCCTGCACTTCATATCTGAGAGTCATATAGAACCGTCAAATAGTGCTGTGACATAGCAGTTTTAAACATTCCAATTTTTTGGCTGCTAAATAGTACATTTGCATCCTGCGGTGCACTTTGTATCTGAGAGTCAAATAGAACTGTCAAATAGTGCTGTGACATAGCAGTTTTAAACATTCCAATTCTTTAGGTTCTAAAAAGTCAATTTGGCGTCTGCACTTCATATCTGAGAGTCAAATAGAACCGTCAAATAGTGCTGTGACATAGCAGTTTTAAACATTCCAATTTTTTGGCTGCTAAATAGTACATTTGCATCCTGCGGTGCACTTCATATCTGAGAGTCAAATAGAACCGTCAAAAACTGTGCTTACAGCGCACTTTGAAATATTCTAATTGTTTTGGGTGCTAATGCTAAATAGTACATTTGCGTCCTGCGGTGCACTTCATATCTGAGAGTCAAATAGAACCGTCAAACACTGTGCTTACAGCGCACTTTGAAAAATTCAAATTGTTTTGGGTGCTATTGCTAAATAGTACATTTGCATCCTGCAGTGCACTTCATATCTGAGAGTCAAATAGAACCGTCAAACACTGTGCTTACAGCGCACTTTTAAAAATTCAAATTGTTTTAGGTGCTAAATAGCACATTTGCGACCTGCGGTGCACCTAATATCTGAGAGTCAAATAGAACCGTCAAATACTGTGCTTACATTGCAGTTTTAAACATTCCAATTCTTTAGGTGCTAAAAAGTCAATTTGGTCCCTGCACTTCATATCTGGGAGTCAAATAGAACCGTCAAATACTGTGGTTACATCACAGTTTCAAAAATTCAAATTTTTTCTGGTGCTAAATAGAACATTTGCGGCCTGCGGTGCCTTTCTTGCAGTCCAATAAACGAAAAAAATAAATAAAAAATAAAATTGTCATTCACAGGCCAGTCTTTCAGAAGCGGCTTGGAGGGTGGGTTCCTGCACCAGCATAGGCCAGGTACACAATTGTCCAGCCAGGGCACATTTCTGGAGGATGAGGAGGATGATGATGAGGAGGAACTGTGTTCACAGCAGGGTGGCACCCGACGCAGCTCGTGGGCATTACTGGAGCTTGGCTGGGGGATACAGAGGACACAGACGATACACCTCCGACAGAAGACAGCTTGTCCTTGCCTCTGGGCAGCCTGGCACACATGAGCGACTACATGCTGCAGTGCCTGCGCAATGAGTGCCAAGTTGACCACATTCTAACTTGTGCTGATTACTGGCTGGCCACCCTGCTGGATCCCCGTTACAAGGACAACGTGCCGTCCTTAATTCCCTCACTGGTGTGTGATCAGAAGATGCGCAACTACTAGCGCATGCTGGTAGACGTGCTGCTGAGGGCATTCCCAACTGACACCAGGGGCTCAGTGGAAGCACAAGGCGAAGGATGTGGAGGAGGAAGAGGTCACCAACACAGCTGGGGCACGGTCAACACCTCAGAAGGCAGGGTTAGCATGGCCGAAATGTGGAAAAGCTTTGT